ATTATTTCTCCATTTATCTTTATTCCTTCTGTGCTTTCCTCCAGCGCTGTCTTAAATACTTCTTCTGAGTATATATTAAAGAGAATAGAAGATACCCCTTTCTTGATCTCAATTTTATTGGTCAATGTAGATTCTACTTTCACTTTAGCTGTTTGACTCCAATAGAGACTCGCTATTGTTCGAATGTCTCTGTAGTCGACTCCGATCTTATGGAGAACTTCAATTATCTTTTCGTGCTTTACGTTATCGAATTTTAAATTAATTACTATTTAACTGGGAATAAGCCACAATTAAAGATTAAAATAGGTTTATTGACGTTTCAATTTCCACTTCGGAAATCGTTCTCAAAATACAAAATAAAACTGTATTTTGAGAACGATTTCCGAAGTGGAAATTGAAACGTCAATAAACGTATTTTTTATCTTTATTTGTGGCTTATTCCCAGTTAAACAGTAATTAATTAATAGTTAATTAATAACTTGTATCTAATATGCGAACTATACCGTGTTAATGGCGGAGAATATTGATGATCTGCTAACAATAGTTCAAAATATTTATACAGGATGCTGATTATGGCTTAAACATTGATCTAGATGTAACCAATTTTTTATCTTCCTAAAGAAAGTAAATAATAATGGCCGATTCAACATTACCATCCAAAACATGAGACGTATACATAAATAGAAATATTTTAGAACTTTCATAAAATGGTGATTATTTCATAATGAAACAAACTAACATTCCACGTAACTCATTTATAAAAATATAACTATTGTATTTCAATAGAACGTTAAATATCGGCTTGCTCAGATTGAGATGCATAGATGAATTGATTTAGGCAAATAATACGGTATAGAAACAGTCACAATGACTTAAGTACATATAGTTAGAAATGAACACGAAAATATTTTAAGTGGATGGAGATACAAATGAACAAGTCTTTTTAAAAGAAAGAGAATAGCATAAATATAGGCAAACTCTGGTTACTTAGTGAGAATGACAAAATACCAACATCTCTAAGTTATCATGTATGGAAAAATTCTAGAAAAATTTAACGTTCGAAGATTATGGCTCATAAATGTATGAGTGATTTATTTGTTCATCCAATCAACTTTTTACTGCAGCAGTAAACAATATTGTTGTGAGGCTATTTTCTTGTGATATTTTAATAGTATTTACTATATTTAATGGGGATTAACCACAATTTTAGTTAAAAATACGTTTATTTTGACAATTCGATTTTCACTTTGGAAATAATTCTTAAAATACATAAGAAAATTTAATTCAATTAAATGTAAACAGAATACAAATAGTCTTGAGGATCACTAATACTCTTGAGAATCTTCAGAAGAAGAATAAGGTTATTTGAATTGTAAATTAAATATATGTTAATGTATTTTTCATTTTAATTGTTTGTTGCTTCGGAACAATAATTTTCGTCTCATCAAATTTTGAATCAATGTTTTCATGAAGAAAAATAAATGTTGCAGTTTATTTTTAATAATATAAGGTCCTTACCAAATTTCAGATGATTTAATGATCCCTTTTACTATTAATAGCCAATCCCCATCATTATTTGTCTCAAAATCTGGACAGTTTTTTTTATAATGTATCAACCCTGACGTACCTCGTAACCTAAGCTGACTTTCTATATTTTTGTTTAATTAAATATTTAACATGAAGTTTTTAAATTGATAAAATCGATTCATTAATAGTTTAATTGAAATATAAACCGAATTTAAAATAAATTACCATACTGATTCATCTAAACCGCTCATTTTCTATTTATGACACATTATCACGAACGTCTAGAATATGCAAATGAAGAAGTACGCAGAAATCCCACAAATTATCCGTAGCGATTTTTTACGCTGAAAAACCAGCTCCGTATGTAATTGGAAGAAATCCATACAGTAATAAATTTACATAACCGAGTGCGATGAGGAGAAAAATTTGTACGGTGTGGATTTACCTTGTGTTTTTTCGTCCGTTTTGCGGAAATTCACACAAGAATTTCTAATGAGCGAATTCGTGAAACTAATCGGACTGTTAATGATGACACTAACGTCAATAATTTTAAATAAGAATACCTCATAGGTAATTTAAACATAATAAAAAAGGGGAAGTCCAACGTTGCCAAACTTATTGGTTTTATTTGACCTGTTGTCTTTTTAGCATTTGAACAATGTTCTGAGATAATCAAATTTGGGCGAAATGGATTTAAATGGCAGCTTACTCTTTTTTATTGGGAATATGCTACAATTTTACTTTACAATAAGTGTAATATAACATTTTGATTTCCACTTCGGAAATCGTTTTACCTATATAAATAAAATTTATTAATGTTTCGTATTTTAAGTACGATTTCCGAATTATAAAGCTAAACATAAAAATGAGCTTATTTTAAAGTCACATTGTGCCTTATTCCCAATAAAAATAATAAACTGCATATGACGCCACAATAAAAAAGTTTCATACAAAATTATTTGGCAACGTCTCGTCTCGCGTGGTTAAAGCACCGAGGAACGTCAAAGCATCGAATCAAAGTAGGGACAGAGGTAACGAGTAGAGGTGGGTCGTGACGTTTTTATCGTAAACCGATTTTCGAAAACAAGTAACGTGAAGTAACTATGATTGTTTAATAGTAGTTTCAAGTAAAGGAGTACCTACACAAACAAACATAATGGCTATTATCGTTTATGTGTATATTTATTGAAGTGAAAGAAACTAATGAAGGATATATTTATTATAACTTGAAAAATAAATCAAACAATACAAATAGTAAATCGTACTTAAATTTACATTACACGTTATTATTAAATCGCGAATCGTCTAAATTAACATTTAAGTTTTTCTACTTTACTTCTTGTTAACCCTGTTCTTCTTTTATTTAAAATTAAACCAGATTTTGAACATATGTTCACATTTACAAGATTTTATGAATATAGTGGTTAAGTTAGGATATACATGGCGATGGTTTTTCCACCATTGTAATGAAGTCTCGATACAGGTGTACGTTTAGATGAGTCATGTCCAATTAATTGATCAAAAATACACCATGGACTTAAGTCATCCTTATCGGTTTTTTTTCTTTTGTTTTTTTTTAGCTTTATTTTTATCAGAAAATCCCTGCACTTTAAAACGTGAATCCATAAATGTACATAATGACAATGTGCCACTCTGTTCTATCCCTCTAAATATTTTTGCTAAACCCGTAATTAGTAATTGTACTACGTCGGATACTATGGATGTAAGGTTACCGTTTGCTAAAATTTTATTCTATGAATCACTGAACTACTCTTCAAGTATTGTTGGCCACTTATTGTACTTGTTATTTCTTTAAAAGGCCTTAAAATTTGAGAAAGTTGAGAACAAATAATCCAGTCTTCATTATTTAGATTTGGTCCAAGTCTAAGTCTGTATTAACTAATACCAATGTGGAACGGATTGCCTCTTCTAACTCGGTCAATATTTTTAACATGTAATAGGTGAAGTTCTACCTAGTTTCCACGTCTTGGATTGGCCGTTTGGGAACTTAGTTATGTTGTAATTGATACTTTAAAAGCCTTTCTGAAGATAGGTACTGTTTTTGAAATGTGTTTTTTGCCGCATTGTCGAAAAAAAGACTTTTTATTTTATCTATTTGTGCACGACAGCATTTAAGTTCTTTGACCATATTTGAGGCATTTTCAGTTACTGCAAAATTTACTTTTCATTTTTATACATAAATATTTACAAACATGAAAGTTATAGCGAAAAATAAAATTTTAAATTTCCACTTTAACATCCTGTATCTTTTTTAATATCAACATTTTATTAAAGCAAGTTGGCTTAAATCGTAATATTTTAAAGTATAGAATCTGCAGTTTCTTTTTGTACAATTACTTAAGGACCACCCTGTATATATATATATATATATATATATATATATATATATATATATATATATATATATATATATATATAATTGTTTTTGGTGACATACAACGTAATGAAGTACCTACAGTTTTTCATAATTGTTAGATGTAGTTTATGTTCCTGTATATGTTGTATATATCTTGTTCAAGTCGAACTAATTGAAACAAGAAATGATTTCTTTAATATATTAGGAGAACTACTTAGATATATTCCTATGTACCTACAATCTACAAAAATAAATGATATGTTAATCAATGTACAAGCAACAGGACCATAAAACTACCTAGTCACACCGTTAAAATATGAGAGAGAATAATTGATAGACGAATACGTGAGTAAACAAAAATATCGGAAAATCAAATTTGATTTATGAAGGAAGATCAACTATAGATTCATTTTACATGATAAGACAGCTCATATGGTATTTATTCATTGATATTGACAAGGCAGTTTATAAACAAAGGTGCATATTATGTGAAGATTGTAAGAGAATTGTATAATGGAGCAACAATTAGCGTTAGGAGTATTGTAAAAAAGACTGACAAATTTCATTTAAAAACAGAACTACATATTAGCTCAGTGCCTAGTCCTTATTTGTTCCCATTAATATTGGATCGGATAAGGAAATTTTAAAGTAACATTCGTCTCGTTTGGTGGTGCGATGTCCAGTCGTTTTAGAAATGTTATTTTATTACTCTACAATGATATGGACAGGAATACGATTAGGATTATATTCTTCGTGCATGTCATACGAAAGGATACCTGAGTACATATAATAGATAAAAAATATTATTATCTAAAATAAACATATTCCAGTGCATACGGAAATTGACACATTGCTGTGGGAGGTAATTGAAGATATTCAAAATAACGTCAATCTGAAAAAGCAATAGGATATGATCTGGTGACAAAAGTCATAAGAACAACTTTAAGAAAGTCTTAACAAATAAGCTCATGGCCCACACCAATAACAGTAGTTAGAGATTTAGCAAGATACGTTCTGTTTGTCGGCAATATTATTTAGAATATATTTATGGATACTAAACGCTTAATATCAAACTAAAAAGTTTCATCGCAGAAAAATGTTCGATGAACTTCCTCAAACAAAACTAATTACTTACAGTGAATTATGGTAAATAACGGCATCACTAACAATTTATTTATTTAATATAAAACAATCTTTGTAGGTGAAGAAACTATATGACGGTATAAGTATTGTACGCCACTGCCATGACTGTTACCATAATTGTTCATACACAATTTACATCATTTACATTATTAAAGACATATATTAAACATTTTTTTTATCAAATAATGTTTTACTTGAACACAAAATTTTTCTCACAGTCGAATTTCCATTCAAAACCCTCATACCACCCTTCCCGTAGAACTAATTATCCCATTTCACAAATATCCCTGTCCCAGTTTCAGTAACTTACCTTCACCCTTATCGTCGCCGTTTTACCCTAGTTTCTCACAAATATGTACGCACTTCTAGGGTTCCGCCAATTCCCAGCGACTTCTATAAGAATGTAGACAACAAATCCGTAGAAATGTGGCTAAAGGAGGCCAGACACAACTACGAACAGGAGTGCATGACTACCCTTCAATGCAAATCGATAGTGGGGGAGCTTAATCAAAAAGTCTCTCATCTCGCAGCCTGCACTACGACTATAGTACGAGGGATTATATCACATTCCAGATGCATAGAAATGGAGTACAATAGTTTAAATAGCAGGTAAATAGGATACATTTATATACTTTTGTTAGATATATACAATAGATCTCCCTCCTCTTGAAACTATATTGAATTAATCATAACTAATTTTAACTAAAATAGATGCAACCATTAAATATCAAACATCTATTAAAATTTAAATTATATTGAAATTTGCAACTTCATGTGTTTAAATATTTGAAAATGTCAATTTAAATTAATGAAATAAAATGCCTAAAAACGATTGTTAATGATAATGCTCAGAGGTAATGCTGTCTACTACGCAATATCCGAAAATATCTTGCACAAAAAAGTCATTGGTAGAATATAATAGAAGTTAACATTCTTGATATTTTTATCTAAGAGATATATTTATAATCATACTGTTAATAAATTTTGGCAATACGAACAAGTTGTATGCATATTTAAAGAAACCATCAGAGAAGGGCGCACACTTTCATAAAATATATTGGCAGCTCAAAGGTTTTGTATTGCGAGACTTATTAACATTTGATTCCAAGCATACCATCGACTACCATGAGGATATGATAGATTTCCTAACCACATCCTCGAAGATACTATACATTAATAATATAAGGACAGCATGGTAACACAAGCAATGTATCAGAACATTGGAAAAAGTTTTATGAAGGAAGAAAACAAAGTAGTGCTCTGAATTATTTTGAGTTAACATGAATTATTGAGCATTGTTAAGATTTTTTTCGTGAAAAGTATGCCAATGTATTTTTATTACCCTCTCATATATAAAGATGTAATATAATGCTTAAACAAATATATAATAAAAAAAACAATTTTCCAAATATCGTTTTTGTTTTAGCGATCCAAAAAACATAAACCCCCTAATTCAAAGCTTGGTCGGAAATATTTCAGACTTTTTAAAAAGCCACAATCATCAACTCAGCCTAAACATAAAACTCTGCGACGAAGCAAAAACTGCCAAAGGAGATGTAGCTTTAAAAGTGATCTCAGTACTCTTCAGTCACTGGCAGGAAGCTCGTAAAGAGGCACTTACCAAAGAAATAAAAAATTTAGTCAATAAACTCGAAAGTCCTACTTCTGAACTAGATCTTCGAGCCACCATAACGGGAATCACTTCGATAGCTCTAAGGAATGAAGAAGTTGTCGAAATTTGTACCAACGCTGATATTGTGCCAATTTTGCTAATTTTGTGCGAAAAATGCGAAGGGTCTTCTATGAGGAGTCTCTTATTACGAGCCTTGAGCACTGTTTGCTGCAGTTCTTCAGCGGTAAGACAGTTTGAAAAATTCTCAGGCGTACAGATTATAGCAGATACTTTGGAGGAACATTCGAGACCAGAAACGGAAAGGTCTGAAGCTGTTGCGTTACTGGCTCAAGTCACTGCTCCTTGGGTGGAAGACAATCATTCTGTTAAAGGTAAGAAACCAAGTTTAAGATTTTTTATAACCCATTTTTTTTTCGTTATAGTGTTTCTATTTTAATTCACTTTGATGAAGTTCTTGTGAATGCCTTGTTTTCAAATCTGTATTTTTTTATTGAGATCTCTTGAAATAGAAGCTTCTTGTTTTTAAATGGAAGTGTAAAACTACATTTACCTTTTATTTTATTTATATTCTAATTTAAGCTTACCCAAAAATCTAATAACTTGACTAAAATTGCAACCGGAATATATTTTTTTTAACCTTTGTAACAATTCTTTAACTGTTCTTATAATTCTTTTGACATTTATTAGTTACTTTTCATATTCTGTTTTAGGTTTACAGGACTACTCCAGAAAATTAGTCAAATCTTTAACAAAATTCGCAGCTAACACCAAGTGCTGCCAAAATTTGCTCTTATGTGCAGCAGCTCTGGCAAATCTGAGCACCATGGACTCGAAAGCAATAAAATACATGATCCATAACAACACAGCTAAATTTCTTATGGAAAATATTCAATCCCGTGGACCAGCAGCTTCAATATACCTATTAGAGCAGATGGCAACACTTCTAGCAAATCTCTCGGCTTCTGATATCGCTAGAAAACAGCTGACTGAAATGAAAGCACCAACAGCACTTTTATGTTTCTTAAAGATGAATCTAAATGGAGAAGATGTAGAAAAAAGACTGCAACAGAAGAGTATCATCGCTTTGTCGAGGTTATGTGGGGAACGAGCTGCGGCCATGCAAGTGGTTGAGTTGGGGGAGAGTTGATAAACTAGTCATGATGTGTAGAGAAAAGGAAGAACGATTCGATAGCGACGCTGTATTAGTGGCTGCATTGGTAAGTTGACTTTTTTTTAACTTCAATATTTCAAATTAGCGACGACTTCATAATATGTTAATGAACTACAATTGGACGAAAGCAGCTAGACAATTTTTAGGTTCGGAAATATATGATAACCGCTAGAAGCTAAATCTGAGAAAAAGAACCGCTGATGCACTAATTCAAAACCCAATTATGAAATTAGTCTTAGAGAATTGTAAGGAAAAGAAAGTATATAATTAACATATTGGTAGAAAATGGCTGTACAGATGATATATTCGAATAAATGTACGAAGACGTTATTTTTGTATTAATACAAATACTATAATGTTTCAAACTTTAAATAATAAACACAAAAAACAGAAAGAAAAAAAACAAAACTAAGGCGGAACAATAATAGAAAGGATCTAAAAACATACATACACTGGAATATGAAGACAGTGGTAATTAACGGACAAAAATTAGTAATTTATGAAAAACATACTTATAGACTAAACTAATAATAATATTACTGGAATATACCGATTGCATTAATAATAATAAATCAGTTCACTGACTCCCAAATCAATTTAAATAATGCTCATAAATACATTGTCAACTACTTACACGAACACTCCAAATTCATTAAACTTGACTTTTTATTTTAGGCAACGCTTAGAAAGATCGTCGATACGTGCGGAAGTGACGTCTTGAGTGCCCAAGACGCTCAAGAGTTAGTCGAACCGAAGCTACTTGACTCATTTTTAGCCTACTCATCTCAGAACGAGAGCTACGTATGATATTTTTAGAAGGCTTAATGTATTTTGTAAAACCGAGCTTAGTTGTGATGTATTCAAATACATATATATATATATATATATATATATATATATATATATATATATATATATATATATATATATATATATACAGAGCGCAGCTAAATTATGGAACAAATTCATTATTTTGCAAACAATTCATTTTAGAAAAATATCCTGATATACGTCGATTTTTAATTTTAAATGCCCATTTTTTTATAATGTGCGAAAACACCGTCACCCTTTTGACATGGTGACGTAATTATTGATTTTTTAAAATGTGAATCTTGTAACAATAAATAAACTAACTGCAAGATTAAATTAATCATAAGCTAAATTAAATGCTTAAAATGCCGTCCACGGGTGTCTTCACAATAAACAAATTGACGAACATATACTTCTGGCATATTACGGAGTAGTTCTATTAACTTCTTCTTGAATTCGAACTTGTAACTCATCTAGATGTTACGATTTATCTACATAATCCTTTGAGTTTAAATAACCGCATAAAAAATTTAGTGGTTTAAGATCTGGAAATCATGGGGGCTACTCTATTAGTCCTCGTCTACGAATTCAACTCCCAGGAAAACAGTATTTTAAAAATTCGCGAACATTGCCTCCATAATGCAAGAGAGCTCCATACTATCATCTGGTAAGTTAGGATTGTTGACGTTTATAAACATATTGACAAGGAAATTGCAGATAACGTTTTTCCTTTAAGATTTTATTAAGGACCAATAATTGTGTCATTAAATATTCTTATTATTATTCTGATGGTGTCGACTAGGTAACCTTCAGTCATCCAGTAAAAATTATTCTTACTTCAGCATCGGCAAATGAAATACTGGATGTATCACTTAAAATATTGTACTACTCAATATTCAATAATTTTTAACAGTAATAGGAAGTTCTCAAACTGAAAATTAAAATAAATTTTTGATCACTCTGCGGAAATAATAATTGATCAATTATGCCGTTATTGAATATAGTGTTAAAAGACCTGCCAAAAAAGGTATTACAAGAACCACATTTAATTTGATAAAAATTAACAATTACGCCACCACGTCAAAACTGGTGATGTCACCATATTCGCATATTATTTTAAAAAATGTGTTCCATAGTTTAGTTTATATATATATATATATATATATATATATATATATATATATATATATATATATATATAAATATGTATAAATACATATATTTATGTGTGTGTATAGGGTGATTGGGAGTCTCAATTGAACAGAAGAGATTTAATGTAATTAATATCTGAAAAAAGAGTTAGTCACTTTTATTTTGAAATAGTCCGATCAACCTGTCGTCTATTTTGGCGAAAAACATTTTGTAAATAACATAATATACAAAGTGATATAACACACGGAAGTACTTAAAAATTTCTTAAATGGATTATCCTATATTTTGTGACGTAATTAGAAATTAGAAAAAAAACTGGCCTTTAAATTAAACTTTTGTTAACTACCTTCTATACCTAAAATTTACACTGATTATGACATTTGCTTTAAATATGTAGAGTAAATGATTGTATTATAATTTTCATTATCATTGTATAGCTATAGCGTATCATGAAAATTTTAATTGATAGTTCTCAATTATAAACAATTGAAGTTATAATGAAATACTATGGAAGTATACGATAAAAAAAATCGGACACTGTTCCATAATAAAATTGGTCATAGCTCGTAAAACAGTCGGTGTACATACAGTCCTATAATATCATTTTCAGGGAATTCTCAAGAGCTGTTCTATCGAAATGTGTAATAAAATATAGGGCATTCATTATATGTAAAATAAGGAAATTTAAGTCAATTGCCGGTATAATCGGAATTGGTAGTAGGCTTTAAATATTTTACATTAATTCGGCTTCTCTAAAAACGCCTCAACCTAAATTTTTAGATATTAGTTATGTCAAGTTCCTGTAAAACGTCTAATTGGAACTCCTAAATATATATATATATATATATATATATATATATATATATATATATATATATATATATATATATATATATATATATATATATATATATATATATATATATATATATATATGTATATTTGGGAGTTCCAATTAGACGTTTTACAGGAACTTGATATATATATATATATATATATATATATATATATATATATATATATATATATATATATATATATATATCAACTCTACTTCTTGGTACTAAAGGTTCTTGAACTGTGCCATCTGTACTTTATTTTAATTACATTCGAGTGACGTAAACAGTCATTTTGTAGGATGATTTTCATAAGGGATCATATGTGTCGTTATATCTCAGTTGAGTTCGTTTTAAAGTCGTTTTCAACGATACTTATTGCACCCATCAGCCAAGTTTTAATGTTCAGAAAACAAGATGCAACAATTGTTTAGTTTGTAAAAAGATCGAAAAGATCAGAACAAAATTTTATGTAACGGTTAAGAAACTTCAGAATGTATATCAAAATGTTGATTTGAAACATATAATTACCCAATAATGAGTTTAATAAGATTAATACACATTTTACAACGCTGTCTAAATAGTATATATCGGACAAATCATTTTACCGCTGTAAGATTGTATACAATTGTTAATTCCACGGTAATACTAAGAAAGTAATATATCCCTTAGTTAGTACCTAGACATTATTCAGAAAATTGTTGCCATCGTCAAACAGGCATTGCACATACTAGTGATACATCCTCTATAAATATTATGCAAACTAAGCTACATTTTACAAAACGTTCTCTTTATTTATTTTTTAGAGTGAAAAATATATTCAAATTATCAAATATCTTTATTTAAAATAGGTTTGAGAATTTCATTTTTTATGTTAAATATTCCAGTTATCTTTTTCAGTATCTTTTGATTTATCTCCTATTCTTCTGCAAATAGAGACCATTACTAAAATTATAAATCCATAATTATATTCATAATTCATCTATTCCTGCGCGGAAATGAGCAAAGTTAAAATTTATTTTAAAGTGTGAACTGGATTGATCTAACTTGAATTAACTTTGTAATTAGTACTTCGTGTAAGACTTGATCAAAATTCTTTTGAATATAAAAAATGGGGCTAAGACGTTTTTATGATCGTTTGTATATTGGGTGATGAGAGGGTTACGTCAACGAGATGGAATCCCGGATGGTGTTATGCTTGTCAAGGATGCATTCAAGAATCTTTCCGAGGTATTGATAAGGTAAACAGGTCTATAGAATTCCACATAGGTAATAAAATTCTAGAATTTGCTACGGATTGTTCATGTTCAAATAAGGTAGATGCTCTCTAGATATTGCTTCAGACATCGTCTGCTGATTATCATGGGTCTCCACCATTATCCGTCGTTAGGACTTTGAAGGTGTTTCAGAACTTCCCGTCATATCTGTAGTCCAATCCAGTTTTAAAGTCTCCTCCGTGCATTAGTGAGCTTGTAGGACGATGATTTTCCTTTTAATCCTCACTAAGATGCACTTTTACTCGTTTTGATTATAGAGTTCTTAATGCCTTTATATTGATGCCGACTTTTGTGTGTGATTGTATTCAAAATATATTGTTAAAGTGGTGTAAACTTATCTCTTGGAGCGGGGTGCATGATTACCTTTTGTATAAAACGATTCAATTTAGTTAATGCTCGTGTTTAATACCAAGCTTTCTTTCGCAAACGCTTTCTTTATTCGAATATCCAGTTCTTTACCTCGGTTGTTGCATTATTATATATTATTTTATTTGTATATGATCTTTTTCAGAAAAAATATCTACATTTTATTTTAAAAGACTCAAGTAGTACTATAACCTACCATAAAATGACCATTCAGACCATTTAAATATAAAGTTTTAATATATTTTTCACTCATATATTTTCGTTCTTTTGCCATATTAAGTTTTAAGTGTTCTTTTTTATTTTTATAAAATGTTTTATATTTGTTGACTATTTTATTTTCAAATTCTTTATTGAGATTAGCAAACTTTGTATCTACATTGATAGATAATTTAATGAATTTACTTTTGCATGTACTTTTTGTGTACTTTACATATGTTCTGATGTTACCAAATATTATGTAGTGTGTTATAAGTATTATGTAATTATACTTTATAAATTATAAAATTATATATCAAAATTGTTTTTTTTCTCGTATTTCGATCCCAAAAATACTAAGTTTAGCTGGTTTGAACTTGGCCAAAGTTAATTAGTCAAACTTTTGAAGCTGATGACTACAAAAAACTTTGTGTAATCTACAGCATATTAGTCATAAAACCAAAACAAATTATATATTAAAATAAACTTACTTAAACCGCAAAAGTTTTGCACCAAAAATTATGATTATTTTGAGGGTTGATTTTCTCGAGATTCCGGATTCCGCATTTTTTCTTATTTTAGACTTTTTCTTTGGTTTTTGCACTGTTGAACAAACGTTTACTCCAACTTCTCTTTTGGGCTTATGCCGAGTAGAAAGAAACAACGTAAATTAATATCACTTGTTTTCCAATCTACTTCTAATAACTGCTTTACATCGCTTGGGTATGCTGAATATTAAGCGGGCTGTTAAGGAGAGGCCCAGGCCGACAAAAAACATCCTGACTCTAAAATCTCCGAGAATGGTATCAAGAAACCACCGCTAATTTATTTCGAGCCGCCGTAAATAAAGTTGTCCAATATGATCGCCAACGTTCGATAATCGGGCAGGGTACTGAAAGAAGAAGAAGAACTAGCCTGAAAAGAAAACTAGAAAATGAAGAATCTATGAAAGAAATAATCTCTACATAATAAAAGATATTAAGTAGCTATGATAAATGTGCAGTCTTTCTCAAGTCAAGTTGGCGAAATAGTTTTAAGAATTAACACTATAATCGTAATTTTCAATGAAACAACTAAAAAGAAAAAGTAAGGATCATGTATATCTGGGTTATTAGAAAATTTTCAAATTATTGTAAATTAAGCAATAAAAGCAAATGAAGAGTAGCGAACGGTTTTAAGAATATAGTAGGATATCTGCTATAACAGTCACAGCACACAGTGGGACGTGGAAAACGTGGCCCAAGCATTTTTTTTTGTAGAGATTTTCGACTTTCGAGTATGCATTATCTGTCACTGGAACAAAAGCTTTGCT